CCCCCCCCAATATCAAGTGCACTCCGGAGAAAAAAATCTGGATGAAACACTGCCCGTAAATCTCGAGTTCGAATCCGGGTCTACTGAGTCTAGCTCTGATAGGTTCCTAACTCACGTTAGGGAAAGTAAAGGAGGCTGGGCATAGTGCTGACCACACTATCCCTTCATATACCGAGGTCGCAGAAACAGGTGAAATCTACTTCACTTGCCCCATAGACCGAGGTCGCAGAAACAGGTGAACTCTACTTCACTTGCCCCATAGACCGTCAGGTTTGGAAGGGAAACTTTACTACTTTTACAAGACCCCTCTCTACCCTTGCACGTAGTCAAGACTGCTACCCAAATCCTGAACTTAACGAATAACAGTAAGAAGAAAATACTCGATTATTAGTTCACTACACTGCTCTATGGTAATTTACACTAAGGGGTCATCAATAAATGACGTCACGCTTTTTTTGACGATTTTTACCTCCCCCCTCCCCTCCGTCACACGTCGTCACAAAAAGCCAGACCCCCCCCCCCTAAAATGACGTCACACCTCAACCTACAACCCCCCTCAAAATTGCAGTTGAATTTTTTTTTAAACATCGATATTTTTCCAAAATCTTGTCTAAACTATTACAATTTATTAAAACAGTTATCTAAAACGCGAAATAACGTCTAAAATTCGTTTTCTAACATTGCTTTTTTATAATGCAAAAATGTGACCCCCCCCCCCCACCTCCCCCTCATCACATATCGTCACAAAATTACGGACCAACCCCTCCCCCCTACGAGTGTGACGTCATTTATGGATGACCCCTAACTGAGACTCCAACGAGTTTAAAGAAACGTCATGACCTGCTCTAAAAATAACTTGATTTGTTTGTTTATTTTTCTCCTGTTCTGCAGTATACTTTTTTTTAAACAAGGTTTTATGAAGGGTCAAATAAATTTTTTTTTAAACGTGTAACAAAATTAAAAATAACAAGTAAGATAACAGTAAGGTCTATGGGAATGTCTTGCCGGCAAATGTTGTCATTGGTGTTGTTAGTATAAAACGATGACGTCATATGGACACGAATACCAGTTAACGCTGAGTTGACTCAATTACGTCGTACGGACCCGAGTACCCATTAGAGCTGAGTTGACTCAATGACGACATACGGACCCGAGTATCCATTAGAGCTGAGTTGACTCAATGACGTCATACGGACCCGAGTACCCATTAGAGCTGAGTTGACTCAATGACGTCATACGGACACCAATACCCACTAGAGCTGAGTTGAATCAGTGAGATCATTCTGTTCTTGAAAAACAATCCAAAACTAATGTTACTTCTTGACAAATAAAGTAGACCAAATGTATTTCGTTTGGTGTTAACTTTTTTACTTTCTCGTATATACGAAGTATAGAGAAAGTCTTGTAATCGTGCAAAAAAAATCGAGATTTTTATAAATCTCGACGTTTTACATCTTACTGATACGGAAAAACATATTTTTGCAATCTTGTCCGTATGTCTGTGTGTCTGTCTGTGTGTGTGTGTGTGTGTGTGTGTGTGTGTAAACACGATAACTTGAGTACCGTTACAGCTAGGTTGATGAAATTTCATATATAAGTATTTTATCAAAATCGTAGATCCGTATCAACTTTTGAGCGATTTCCGATAACCGGAAGTGGTACTTTTCCTACTTTGAAATTTTCAAAAGCCTATAACTTGAGTACTATTTCAGATAGATAAACGAAATTTCACATGTAAGTAAAAGATCTAACTCTCTACCTTCTGTTAAATTTTGAGTCATTTCCGTTGACCCGAAGTAGTAATTTACGCTACTTCCGATTTCTCAAAAAACTAATGTAAATTTTTAAAGTACTAATAATATTGCGCACTATTATGCACTTTTTTTATTTAGCGTTCACTTGGTGTGCAATTCTTTTGTCTACGAGATTTTATTCTATTTTTAAAACTTTAAGTATTTAAAATGGATTAAAAATCATGTCTATAGCCCGAGTTCCCATCCCCTGTTATTTTATATAAAAATATTCGAGAAAGTTTAGGGGAGATCACTCCCGGTTTATTTCTTATTTAATTGTAGTTCTGTTATCATCAGCTGAAAAATCGCATAAAAAAATAATAGTATTGACATTCTACCAGGTGAACCCAAATTGAATTATAAAAAGTGACCTTCAGGGGCGTAGCGAGGGGGGGGGGGGCGGGGTGCGTACCGCACCGGGTGACACCATTTAGGGGGGTAACACCAAGGCAAAAAATAGCAAAATATATAGAGAAAAACTTGAGGGGGGGTGCAAATCGAAAACTTGAAAGTTTGTCCCCGGGAAGGGTCGCTACGCCTCTGGGGGGGGGGGGGTGACACCATTAGGTGCCGCACCGGGTGACACCCGACCTCGCTACGCCACTGGTGACCTTATACCGGAAAGTTCTGTACCACAATTTCGCAGCTCATGCGAGAGACAGAGAAAGAATTACTTCCCCTTCTCAAATGTTCATTGTTCTTCCCCTTGGTGTCTACATTTCAGGTAAGTGGAGAAGTACAGTCCAACCGCTGGCTAAATATAGAACTGCTTATTCAACATCACGTACGATTTGAAAAAAAATGTAAACGCCTTTAATTTATTTTAGATTTTTTTCTTGCGTTAGAGTTGGGTGTGTAGGGGATTTGAACTTACAACCCGTTAACAATAGAAGTGAGGTCACAGGGATATAGCCTAGCTGACTGTAGATACATGAGGCTGACCACGGGGGCATACGATATAACTGACCACTGACGTACAATAGTTGACCACGGGCTAACGGCCATATAACTGACCACAGGCGTACAGCCATATAGTTGACCACAGGCGTACAGCCATATAGTTGAACTAACCACCGAAAACAGGGCTTCACGTTAGACAATAGGGCCTAATAAGGCCAAATAGTTGACAAGAAAATCACATAAAATACCACATACCGCAACAGTAGTAACAATAGAAAATCTAGAGATTTATTATTTATTATTTATATTAAATAGTTAAACGAAGGTATCAAATCGTTAAACAAAGGTATCAAATCTTCAAAAGAAGATATCAAATTGTTATAGTAAGAAGACCTCTAGGGTGTTGAAGGACAAAGTTATTGTCTACTTCATTAATGAAGGTATGTTAGATGAGAGTCTCCTTTCTGATGTTTTGGCACGGGAAGTGAAAATTGTTGATAGGGAGTTTGAGGCCAGACTAGAGTTAGAAAGAGAAGCTCAGATGAAGAGGTTAGAGTATGAGTTTGGTATTATTGGCAGTAGTACGAGGTCAGGAGGTCCTTCCCAGTTGTCTGTGGCCCAAACATTGGCCCAGTTTTGCAAATTAGTCCCTAAGTTTGATGAGTCAGATCTTGTTGTATTTTTTAATACATTTGATCAATAAGATCAAGTAGAGGTTAGCCAACTAGTGCACAATGCACCTTCCTAGGTTAGCCAACTAGTACACAATGCACCCCTAGGTTAGCCAGTTAGCTCACAATGCACCCCCAATGTTAGTGTTAGCCAATTAGCACACAATGCAGCCCTAGGTTAGCCAATTAGCACACAATGCACCCCTAGGTTAGCCAATTAGTACACAAGGCACCCCTAGGTTAGCCAATTAGCACACAATACACCCCTAGGTTAGCTAATTAGCCCACAATGCGACCCCTATGTTAGCCAATTAGCACACAATGCATCCCCTAGGTTAGCCAATTAGCACACAATTGCTCCCTAGGTTAGCTAATTAGCTCACAATACACCCCTATGTTAGCCAATTAGCACACAATACACCTATAGGTTAGCTAATTAGCCCACAATGCGACCCCTATGTTAGCCAATTAGCACACAATGCACCCCCTAGATTAGTCAATTAGCACACAATGCACCCCTAGGTTAGCCATCTAGCACACAATGCACCCATAGGTTAGCCAATTAGCACACAATGCACCCCTAGGTTAGCCAATTAGCACACAATGCACCCCTAGGTTAGCAAATTAGCGCACAATGCACCCCTATGTTAGCCAATTAGCACACAATGCACCCCTAGGTTAGCCAATTAGCACACAATGCACCCCTAGGTTAGCCAATTAGCACACAATACACCCCTAGGTTAGCCAATTAGCACACAATACACCCCTAGGTTAGCCAATTAGTACACAAGGCACCCCTAGGTTAGCCAATTAGCACACAATACACCCCTATGTTAGCTAATTAGCACACAATGCCACTCCTATGTTAGCCAATTAGCACACAATTGCTCCCTAGGTTAGCCAATTAGAACACAATGCACCCCTAGGTTAGCTAATTAGCCCACAATGCGACCCCTATGTTAGCCAATTAGCACACAATGCACCCCTAGGTTAGCTAATTAGCCCACAATGCGACCCCTATGTTAGCCAATTAGCACACAATGCACCCCTAGGTTAGCTAATTAGCCCACAATGCGACCCCTATGTTAGCCAATAAGCACACAATGCACCCCCTATGTTAGCCAATTAGCACACAATGCCACCTCTAGGTTAGCCAATTAGCACACACCTCTCTTTTCCTAAATTAATCTTAGTTCCAAAAATAAATTAGCATTAAAAAGACTATTCCGAAAGACTATTCCCCCCCCCTCCCCCCCCCCCCCACCTCCTGGTGTGATTTATGGAGAGACAACTTCAGACCCGTGCAAGAAAGTAAGAAATGTAAACAATAAAATTATCTATACCCTTACCCCCCCCCCCCCCCCACCCCCCAATTGCCCTTCTTCCACTGTGAGTGTAACAACTGGCAAGAAAATGAAAAGAAAAAAAAACAAAGGAAAAACAAAATTGTCTATTCCCCTCCCCCATACCCACCCCCTCAGTTCCCCCAACGTGAATGTAACCACTGCAATAAATTAAACCTGTTTCATTGTTTTCCTTTACGCACGCCCTAACCTCGGTATCAAACAACAGCCAAAGAGAAAAACTCGTGTTGTCATTGACAACGAGTTGTCAACAACAAACAGGACACGGGGGAGAACCAAGTATGGTATATATGACAAGGACTCCACCTTCGAACCACGACCGAGTCTGCGTGATTCTCTATTGGTGAAGTTCGCCCTGTGAGGGAACTATCATCACAGATTCACTAGTCGTTCCAGCAACGTTGCAATTGTCGCTTCAAGAAAATCAAAGATGGATAAAAGCATCATCTTTGGATGTGGATTCTTACTGGCGGTGCTCTGTAAGTATGCTTTTATTTGATAACGTTAGATGGACTATGTTAAGTCAGTTAAATTTGGCCGCACGTCCGCGGCTAGTTATATGGCCTTATATTTAGCTATATGACCGTAGCGCCGGTTATATCACATTAAGATCAGCTATATGGCCCTACATCTATGGTCAGCTATATGGTACTACACTTATGGTCAGCAAAATGAACCTACATCTATGCTCAGCTATTTGGCCATACATAAATGGTCAGCTATACGACGTGGTTTTGGCTGCTAACCCGAGAGGTCTCGTGTTCGGATCTCGTTTCGGATTGTGCGTGTAGGAAGGGCTCTGAGACCAACCATCTATAATGGCTACCTGACTTACGTTGGGGAAGTAAAGGGGCTGGCCTTAGTAGGCTACTAACCCCACCACACCTTCTTATGCCGAGGTCAAGAAACATATAAATTCTACTTTTCCTGCCCAGTGAACCTGTAGGTCTAAAGAGGAATCTTTACTTTTTTCTATGGCAATATGGTCAACTATATAGCCATACAATCATTTATATCGCACTACATAATATGTGGTCAGCTATATTGCCCTACATCTATTGTTAGCTATATATCCCTAAGAACCAAATGTAGTAGTTATTAAACGTAAGTAATTTAATAGTATCCTACAATGACATGTTGATAGCAATGTTACCTTGTAGTAGAAGATTACAAACAATTATGTCATGTGCATTTAACTTCCATTAGGATATCATTTTTGTTTCATCAGCAGTGGCAGCCACAAGTACCACTTCTACTGTATCTCTATTGGATACATCGTTTACCTCGACCTCAACATCTGCACCTAACTCGGGCACAACCGCTGACTTGTCCACAGCACCTAACTCGGATACAACAACTGGCGTGACCACAACACCTAACTCGGATACAACAACTGGCGTGACCACAACACCTAACTCGGATACAACAACTGGCGTGACCACAACACCTAACTCGGATACAACAACTGGCGTGACCACAACACCTAACTCGGTTACAACAACTGGCGTGACCACAACACCTAACTCGGATACAACAACTGGCGTGACCACAACACCTAACTCGGATACAACAACTGGCGTGACCACAACACCTAACTCGGATACAACAACTGGCGTGACCACAACACCTAACTCGGATACAACAACTGGCGTGACCACAACACCTAACTCGGATACAACAACTGGCGTGACCACAACACCTAACTCGGATACAACAACTGGCGTGACCACAACACCTAACTCGGATACAACAACTGGCGTGACCACAACACCTAACTCGGATACAACAACTGGCGTGACCACAACACCTAACTCGGATACAACAACTGGCGTGACCACAACACCTAACTCGGTTACAACAACTGGCGTGACCACAACACCTAACTCGGGCACTACCACTGGCGTGACCACAACGCCTAACACGGCCACAACAACTGACTTGTCCACAGCACCTAACACGGCAACAACAACTGGCGTGACCACAACAAGATCAAGTAAATATATGTGTAGACTTATAAAATGTTTTTTTTTTCAAAAAGCTTAATCCCAGAATCCCAGCTGCTATCGTAGCCATGCAAACAAAGTTTTTGATCTTAAACATTTTGTTTTATTTCGGCTGTGTATGCCGTCCCTTATATATATATATATATATATATATATATATATATATATATATATATATATATATATATATATATATATATATATATAGGTGTGTGTACATGTGTGCATGAGTGAGTGTATATATATATATTTATATATATTATATATATATATATATATATATATATATATATATATATATATATATATATATATATATATATATATAACGTTTCTCTTTTGTTGTTCCCAGGTTCTGACCTGCCCACGTCTACATTTTGTCCAATGACATCTGCTACTACCACATCCCTCAGCACTTATACTTATTCAACTTCGTTGTATGGATCGACTACACCAATGTCTGGTACGATTTTCTCTCCTTTTTTTCTGTTACACTGACAGATAAGATGTGAAGTGGGGGAGGGGGAGGGGTATTTCAAGCAAGCACATTACACAACCAGGTCAAGGCGGTCTATCTGTTTTGAGTTCAGAACCAGGTCACGCGTCAATGAACGTTCACAAATCTACCCAGCTCTGTTGAGTCCCTGAATGACGTTTGGGAAATTTAAAGTGGTAGGCATGGTGCTGATTACACTATCCTTCCATCTACTGAGGAAACAGTTAACTCTTCTTCATCTGCGATATGGACAGCCAGGTTTTGAAAAATTAACATTACGTACATTAAGGAACCAGGTGTGATGGCTGGTATATGAGCGAATGCAATAAAGTGGATATAATGAGAAACCAATTCTAGAAATATGATCCTAATGCTGATAAGAAAACTAATTACCATTTTTTTTCTGCTAAATCAGACACGCAATCACACATACAGACACAAACACACATACACACATAATATGTGTTTAGAGGCCAATACCTATCATCCTTGATGACTTACTTACTCTTCCCCTCCCCCCGAAGAAAAAATCTTGAAGAACCACTGCAGATGGACTTATTGAAAAGTGATTAATATTTCGTTCAATTATTCCTATAGTAGTTTCATATTTCCAGACAATCGTGTTCTAAAAATACCTCTCGTATTTTCAGATACCGGCGCCCTTCTGAGAGCATTCACACCTATGTTGATGATCCTGGCTTTGATTTTGAGATGGCTTTTGTGAAATGTTGAAATGGCTCCTTGAAATGTTGAAATGGCTCCTTGAAATGTTGAAATGGCTCCTTGAAATGTTGAAATGTATCATCGAAAAGATTAAATTGCTCGGCGAAATATTTAGATGGCTTTCAATTAGGTATTTTCTCGCTGATTTACACTAGCCAACAGTTCAAATCTTTTAGGGACTTATTTTTAAAACTTCATTTTAGTAATTAGTATTTCGGGCATCTATTTCCTGTTTTAAACAATCAATTCTTCTGTAAAACAAAAATGCATGTACAAGGAAATTGTAAAGTTTAAAAAGAAAGAAATTTGTATTTTCTATTCAGAGCTTAAATGTATTTTGCAATATATTTATTAATTTTTTACTGAAAATAATTGGCCTAATTGAAACTTTTTTTTTAAACATAAAATTTAAAATGTTCTCTAGTACATAAATGTAAATATTTTTTTTTAAATGGGACTTTTTTATAACTTCTAAATTTCCGGTTGTAAAATATGTTATATCTTGAATTTCTACAAAATTTTCCGTTCGTATGCTTACATCTATTTTTTGTTACAAATTTAAAATCGCTGAAATCTATAGATGACAATTGACATGACAATTCTTGTATGTAACATTCCCGTAATAAAGCGCTGTTTGTACGGAAATCTTCCAATCTAGGTAAATGATGTTCAAACAGCTGTTTTGTTCAACTTCATCTAAATCTTTAAAAATATTATTTTTTAGGAAGAAAAAAACAAGAAATTTGTCCAAATTTGATACTGTCATATTTTTTACATCGTTTTATTATTATGCGCCATAGTTTTTAATAATTAGTTGCTTTTTTTAATATTAAAAATAAAAACTGTTTTTGTTTTGCAAACAGGCTTTAGATTTTCCTACAGTTTGTTGTTTATGTCTGTGTGTAGTTCTCGTTAGCCATACTGAAACAGGAGTGTGCTCGGTACATGAAGAGCCTACATAAAGTGTAGAGGGCAAACACTTTGCCAACCTTAAGCCAGAGGAAGTAGAGCTCATGATATACACAGATGGCAGGCTAGACATGTACAGCTTTAGACATGTACTGCTTACAGGCTAGACATGTACAGCTTTAGACATGTACAACTTACAGGCTAGACATGTACAGCTTACACGCTAGACATGTACAGCTTACAGGCTAGACATGTACAGCTTACACGCTAGACATGTACAGCTTACAGGCTAGATATGTACAGCTTACAGGCTAGACATGTACAGCTTACAGACTAGACATGTACATTTTTAGACATGTACAGCTTACAGGCTAGACATGTACAACTTTAGACATGTACAGCTTACATGCTAGACATGTACAGCTTACATGCTAGACATGTACAGCTTACAGGCTAGACATGTACAGCTTACAGGCTAGACATGTACAGGTTTAGACATGTACAGCTTACAGGCTAGACATGTACAGCTTTAGACATGTACAGCTTACAGGCTAGATATGTACAGCTTTAGACATGTGCAGCTTACAGGCTAGACATGTACAATTTTAGACATGTACAGCTTACAGGCTAGACATGTACAGCTTACAGGCTAGACATGTACAGCTTACACGCTAGACATGTACAGCTTACAGGCTAGACATGTACAGCTTTAGACATGTACAGCTTACAGGCTAGACATGTACAGCTTACAGGCTAGACATGTACAGCTTTAGACATGTACAGCTTACAGGCTAGACATGTACAGCTTACAGGCTAGACATGTACAGCTTACAGGCTAGACATGTACAGCTTACAGGCTAGACATGTACAGCTTACAGGCTAGACATGTACAGCTTACAGGCTAGAAACAGGTAGGCAGCTGGAAAAACTGTTTACAGGCTAGAAACAATTTAGATCGTCCATGTTTGTTACAGGTGTCTATCATCGATACTTATTTTTGTTCTTTTATTTGACCAGTTTATTAAGCCATTTTATAAGGAGTCATTATCTAGATATTAACATGTGGCCTATAACATCCACCATCAAGAGGATCTAAGAAAATAACAAGATCTTTTCTTAAGACTGATTTGACTCCAGTAATGCATTAAAACAAAACAAAAAATGTTGCTATACAAATGGGGGGGGGGGTACGATTGCACGATTACAGTACTTAACTTATCTATTTTTCGTCACCTAAAGGCCTACCACTACCAGAAGGCAAATATAAGAAAATTTAAAATACGTCGAAATAAAAAAAAAGATAAAAAGAAAATTAGATAATATCCTTTGCATTTGCATTTGCATTGGAAGTCTCGTGTTCGAATCCCAGGTTTGAGCCCGTGGTACGTGATTGAGCCCAGACGACCCTGATGAGTTTCAGACGGCCGGGCTTAGAACTGACTACACTGCTACTTCACATTTTAGGGTCACAAAAAGTGAACTCTTATTTCCTCTGCCTTATAGACAACCAGCTCATGGGCGAGGGGGGATTTTACTTCTTTGTACTTGAAATGTCCTACTGTGCTTAGAATATTGATTAACAAAAGGATAATGTCCTGTTCCAGTTTTTGAGATTTTAAAACTTTTATTTTTATCTTTACGATCTCTTTGGTTATGGCTTTCATTTGAGTATTTCCGCAGTATGGATTTTTTTAGATGTCTTGATAATACACGATTTTTAGCTGTATGTGTAAACAACTATAAATCCCTATGCGAAAAATAGGGTTTGTGGATATTTTAAATACTACATTAAATTTTAATTAAATATTTAATAAAGCGGCACAAAAATCGCACCAAATAATTTTAACTGTAAAAATAATATTTTCTTGATATATTTCTTTCAGATGATAACTATCTTATTATATATCTTATATACGGCGTGGACAAGCACTGGAGCGCATGTTAAACCCAACAGTTCAGTTCCGTCCACAGGCTAGAGTTGTAGGCCTTACCTGATAAGCTTAAAGGCTTAAGGGTAGAACGCGCGCTCGCTAGGAATCATCCATAAACGACGTCACGCTTTTCTTTGTGTGACGATTTTTACCTCCTCTCACCCCTCCGTCACACATTGTCAGAAAAAGCAAGACACCTCCCCCCACAATGACGTCACATCTCCGTCATCAACACCCCTCAAAATTGCATTTGAATTTATTTTTAATCATCGATTTTTTTTTCCCTAAAATATTGACTGAGCTCAGCCTAAACAAGGTAGGCCTACTTTAATCAATTTTTATAACAAATTATGAAAACAGGTTTATAAAAACGCGAAATAACGGCTAAAATTCAGTTTCTGACATAACTTTTTTAAGGCAAAAATGTGACGTCACACTATCTGAATCCCCATCCCCTCATCACACATCGTCACAAAATTACAGACCCTTCCCCTCCCTACGAGTGTGACGTCATTTATGGACGACCGCTAAACCACAAGTCAAGAGCTAGAAACCAGATATTTGGACCCATCCCAACACAGGGACGGGAATGATAGTTCAATAAAATTTCTCAAAAGATTTTCCTCAATTTTAAACACCTGTGCCCACCCATATTTCTGTGTGGCCTAGCCAGACTGCTAGACTGCTAACCCGTAAGCAGTTTCTGATGGGTTCCTAACTTACGTTAAGGAAAGTAACGGTGGCTGGGCATAGTGCTGACCACACTATCCCTTCATATGCCGAGCTCGCAGAAACAGGTGAACTCTACTTCACTTGCCCCATAGACCGTCAGGTTTAAAAGGGAAATATTACTACCTTTACAAGACCCCTCTCTACCCTTGCCTGTAGTCAAGACTGCTACCCAAATCCTAAACTTAACAACGGATAATAGTAAGAAGAAAATACTCGATTATTAGTTCACTACACTGCTCTATGGTATTATACACCCACCGAGACTCTAACGGGTTTAACGACGGGATTTCATGACCTGCTCAAAAAATAACTTAATTTGTTTGTTGTTTTTTTCCTCCAGTACTGCAGTTTACTTTTTTTAAACAAGATTTTATGAAGTGTTAAATAAAAAAAAACTTTTTTTTTAAACTTGTAAAAACAGTACGGTCTAAGGGAATGTCTTGACTTCAAATGTTGTCATTGGTATTGTTAATATAAAACGATGACGTACTATGGATTCGAGCGTAGCGCCAGAACTCAAGGCTTCCGGGTTAGCAGTCATGCACCCGACCGTCCGACCGCGCCGTTCCAAATTACGTGTTTATCTGCCCAGTTAACTTATCAAACAACGAAATATCATTGTGCACGCTCAGCTTTAATTCGGTCACGGTTCTTGCACCCGTTACAGCTGAGTTGACTCAATAACGTCATACGGACACCAATACCCACTAGAGCTGAGTTGAATCAGTGAGATCATTCTGTTCTTGAAAAACAATCCAAAACTAATGTTACTTCTTGACAAATAAAGTAGACCGAATGTATTTCGTTTGGTGTTAACTTTTTTACTTTCTCGTATATACGTAGTATAGAGAAAGTATTGTAATCGTGCAAAAAAAAAAAATCGAGATTTTTACAAATCTCGACGTTTTACACCTCACTGATACGGAAAAACATAATTTTTCAATCTTGTCCGTATGTCTGTGTGTGTGTGTGTGTCTGTGTGTCTGTCTGTCCGTGTGTAAACACGATAACTTGAGTACCGTTACAGCTAGGTTGATGAAATTTCATATATAAGTATTTTATCAAAATCGTAGATCCGTATCAACTTTTGAGCGATTTCCGATAACCGGAAGTGGTACTTTTCCTACTTTGAATTTTTCAAAAGCCTATAACTTGAGTACTATTTCAGATAGATAAATGAAATTTCACATGTAAGTAAAAGATCTAATTCTCTACCTTCTTTTAAATTTTGAGTAATTTCCGTTGACTGGAAGTAGTAATTTACGCTACTTCCGATTTCTCAAAAAACTAATGTAAATTTTTAAAGTACTAATAATATTGCGCACTATTATACGCGTTTTTATTCGGCGTTTGCTTGGTGCGCAATGTTTTTTTTATGAGATTCTATTCTATTTTTAAAAGTTTAAGTATTTAAAATGGATTAAAAATCATAACTATATCCCCAGTTACCATCCCCTGTTGTTTTATATAAGAATATTCGAGAAAGTTTAGGGGAGATCACTACCGGTTTATTTCTTATTTAATTGTAGTTCTGTTAGCTTGAGCTGAAAAATCGCATCAAACAATAATAGTATTGACATTATACCAGGTAAACCCCATTCGAAAAGTGACCTTATACCGGAAAGTTATGTACCACAATTTCGCAGCGAGAGACAGAGAAAGAATTACTTCCCTTTCTAAAATGGTCATTGTTCTTCCACTTGGTGTGTACATTTCTAAAAATAAACCTTTCACTAAAGTTTAATGGAGTCTCGAAGATATATATATATATATATATATATATATATATATATATATATATATATATACTTATATATATATATATATATATATATATATATATATATATATAAGGTAAAGGGAGAAAATCAGTCCTACCGCTGGCTAAATATAGAACTGCTTATTTCAACCTCACGTACGATTTTTTTTTTTAATAATTAAAACACCTTTAATTTATTTTAGAGTTTTTCATGCGTTAGAGTTGAGTGTGTAGGTGATTTAAACTTCCAACCCGTTAACAATAAAAGTAAGGTCACAGGGATATAGCATGGCTGACTGTAGAACCATGGGACTGACAACGATGATATACGATATAACTGACCACTGAGGTAAATTAGTTGACCACGGGCTAACGGCCATATAGCTGACCACAGACGTACATTAGTTGACCACGGGCTAACGGCCATATAACTGACCACAGGCGTACAGCCATATAGCTGACCACAGGCGTACATTAGTTGACCA